TGAAAATGTGAAAGAGACACATCAATTGGTTGCCTCCCGAACACACCCCAACCAGGCCAGGGACTTAACCTGCCACTCAGGTATGTGCCCTTGACCGGGAATTGAACCCACGACCCTTTGGTGCAGGGCTGATACTCTAACCATTGAGATACACAGACCAGAGTGTGAATGTGCTTTATCAAGTGACAAAACACTATGTGAGTGTCATTTATTGTCACTTTCCTCCAATCCCGCCTCCTTCAGCGTCTGTGGGTCCCCGAGTTTCTCTCTTTGGAAACACGTTCCTGAAGGCCAGGTCTTGGGCGGGAGGCAGAGGCCCTAGGACTGTGGTCTGAGTCAGAGCCTCCTTTTGAAAGTCCTTTGTCATTTCAGCAACTTGTAAAGCAGCTCTCTGAGCGAGGTGCCCCTGGGCCCACAGCTTCTGCTTGCCTGGGAGGCCTGTAAGCTCCCTCTGGTGGTGAGAGGACCTAACCGGATTGGCAAAATTTGGTTGAAATCAGTTGAGGCTGAGAGATGAGGTACCCGGAGGTGGGAGGTGGAGGTGGGAGGGAAGGAGGTGGAAGTGGGAGGTGGAAGTGAGAGGTGGGAGATAGAAGGTGGAGGTGGAGTGGGAGGTAGAAGGTGGAGGTGGAGGTAGGAGGGAAGGAGGTGGAGGTGGGAGGGAAGGAGGTAGGCTGCAGAGTGGATGAACGCGTTTAGTATCTTCATTGCAGTGACGGTTAACAGGTGTATCCACATGTCAAAACCTACCCAGTTGTATCCTTCAGACTCCTGCCACTTGTTCTGTGTGATCACACATCTCACTGACAGGTGTGTGCGTGTACAGGGTGGGGCCAAAGGAGGTTTTCAGCTGTGAGTACGAGCAACAGTTTTTTCCTTGTGTTATTATTTATTCTATTATTTTCCACACAAGCAACTGTAAACCTATTTTTGCCCCACCTGTATATACATATAAAAGTGTCAAGAGCTAAGGGGAGGACTCTTTAGATAGAAGAAGAAGGACCGAATACATTTTGGTAAGTTATGTAGTGGATTTGCTAAAAATTAACTGTTGATATTTCACTATTCTAAAAATACGCACCCTACTTGTAAGAAGAGCCAGAGGGGACTTTCAGAGACCATCTTACTCAACCCCTCTTCCTATTGGGTGTGGTCGTACACAGCCTCCGTGGGGTTTATTATTTTTTAAAATATATTTTTATTAATTTCAGAGAAGGGAGAGATAGAAACATCAGTGATGACAGAATCATGGTTCGGCAGCCTCCTGCACACCCCCCACTGGGGATCAAGCCCATAACCCAGGCATGTGCTCTTGACCGGCATCGAACCCGGGACCCTCAGTCCATAGGCCAACGCTCTATCCACTGAGCCAAACCATGTAGGGCAGGGTTTCAAGTGACAACATGCCCCGCCCGGCCCTGTGGCCCAGACACAGTGCCCTCCCTGAGCTCAGCCAGGTTCCCACGCCAGCCCAGCTCTGCCCTCCTTGTGTCCAGCTGTCTGACCTCCAGGTGGCAGCCCGCCAGCTGTCTGGTGGCGGACACTTGTGTCTGCCCGGGGCCTGGAGCAGCCACCAGGGGCCGCTGTGTCCCTGCTTCCCGTCCACGCTCCCCTTGCGCCTCTGCAAGCTGGACGTCTGGGAGGGTGCCTCGCATCGCCCATCAGAGGCCAAGTCAGCGTGGAGGCCGGGGAATCACTGAGGAGTGTGCCTACCTTCTGGACGCAGCTTAGGGTGTCCAGTCCACGGTGTGATGGTGCGCACCGTCCCTGCCCCGCGAGGCGGCCAGCCGGCTGCCGGTGCAGATGTCTGGTTCCAACCGTGTGCTCGTCCGCCCCGTTGTGCTCCTGACGGGAGAGACTGTGTCTGTAACATCCCTTACAGAACCTGGTGGCGAAGGGAAAAGCCGTCCCAGGCGATGGCAAAAGCTGGGCCCAGCAGAAACTGAGCAGCGGGCACTGAGGGTGACCTCACAGAAACGGCTGGAGGACCGTTGGGCAGAAGTGGTGTTTTTCTTCCCTGTGGCCCCTGAGAATATATCCAGGCCCAGGAACTGGAAGCCCGTCTCACATGGAGTCCTGTGCACCCATGTTCAGAGGGCGGTAGTCACAACCGCCAGAGGGCGGAGGCAGCCCCCGTGTCCATCGGCGGACGGGCAAACAAGATGCATAAAGAACATATGGTACCATCACCATGAGAGGTCACCTCGCACCTGTCAGAATGGCTGTCACCCATAAGCCAACCAGCGCTGGGGAGAAGGCGGAGGAGAGGGGACCCTGAGTACTGCTGGGGGGAATGCAGCCAGCATGGAAAACTATGAATTTCCCCCCAAAATTAAAAACCGATCTGCCTATGACCCAGTGATTCCACTTCTGGGTAAATAGCCAAAGAAATCCAAAATACTAATTCAAAAGAATACATGCCCCTCTATGTTCACTGCAGCATTATTTTATTTTTTATTTTTTTAAAAAAAATATATATATTTTATTTATCTTTTACAGAGAGGAAGGGAGAAGGATAGAGAGTTAGAAACATCAATGAGAGAGAAACATCGATCAGCTGCCTCCTGCACGCATCCAACTGGGGATGTGCCCGCAACCATGGCACATGCCCTTGAGCGGAATCGAACCTGGGACCTTTCAGTCACCAGGCTGCTTTTTTTGCTTGCAACCAAGGCACAGGCCCCTGACCAGAATCGAACCCGGGACCCTTGAGTCCGCAGGCCGACGCTCTATCCATTGAGCCAAACCGGTTAGGGCAACTGCAGCATTATTTACAACAGCCAAGGTATAGAAGCAGCCCAAGTGTCCATCACTAGACAAATGGCTAAAAATGCTGTGGTACTCTCCTCCCCCCAACCCTAGGCAACCACTGACCTTTCTTTATGGATTTACCTCTTCTGGACATTTTTAAAAAAATATTTTATTGATTTTTCACAGAGAGGAGGGGAGGGGGATAGAGAGTTAGAAACATCAATGAGAGAGAAACATGGATCAGCTGCCTCCTGCACACTCCCTACTGGGGATGTGCCCTCAACCAAGGTACATGCCCTTGACCGAAACCAAACCTGGGACCCTTGAGTCTGCAGGCCGACGCTCTATCCACTGAGCCAAACCGGTTAGGGCAAAGAATGAATTCTTAACTGTTTCTGACAGCATGGATGGACACAGGGTATTATGCTAAGTGAAATAAGCCAGCCGGAGAAAGACAAATCCCATATGATTTCATTTATATGTGGAATCTAACAGCCATATAAACAAACAAAACCGAAACAGACTCCTAGATACACAGAACAAAGTGATGGTTGCTGGGTGAGGGGAGGACTGGGGGGCTGGGTGAGAAAGGTGAAGGGATTGAGAAGTGCAGACTGGCAGCTACAAAACAGTCGTAGGAATTAAAAGTACAACATAGGAACTACAATCAGTAATAGTAATGGCTGTGTATGGGTGCCAGGCGGGTGCTAGAAAGATCAGGGGGAACACTTTGTAAAAGATGATTATCTAACCACTAGGCTGTACACCTGAAACTAATACAAAATAATATTGACTGTAAACTGGAAAAATAAGAATAAATTTTAAGAAAAGTGGTACAGTCGTCCGTCAGTGTCCATGGGGGTTGGTTTCAGGGCCCCCGCAGACACCACAACCTTCAGATGTTCTAGTCCCTTCTTTAAAATGGTGCAGTGTTGCCAAAACCGGTTTGGCTCAGTGGATGGAGCGTCGGCCTGTGGACTGAAAGGTCCCAGGTTCGATTCCGGTCAAGGGCATGTACCTTGGTTGCAGGCACATCCCCAGTGCGGGGGAGTGTGCAGGAGGCAGCTGATCGATGTTTCTCGCTCATCGATGTTTCTAACTCTCTATCTCTCTCCTTTCCTCTCTGTAAAAAACTCAATAAAATATATATTTAAAAAAAATAAATAAAATGGTGCAGTGTTTGTGTACAACCTGCGCACAACTTCCCAAATACTTTAGACCATGGCTGGGTTACGTATAACACCTGATGTCATGCAGACGTTGTGTAAACAGTCGTTATACTGTGTTGCTTGGGGAAAACCCTGACTGTGCTCACTGCAAACACAACCACCGCAGCCTCACTACACCGTGCACGTCAGCAACGTGAGCTGCTTTTTCTATGTTCGACCCGGTTGGTTGGATCTGGATGCAGAACCCGCGGATACGGAGGGCCGACCGTACACACATACAGGGGATGTTGTTCAGCCCTGGCTGAACCTGGTGGCCATCGGTGTCACCGAAAGCCGGGGCAGTGGGAGGCTCACCACCAGTCACCCCCTGATGCCTCTTCCTTCTGTCCTCCTCAAGGTGTCCCCGGAGCACAGAGCGGAAGACCCCCTGGAGAGCAGCGGTGCATCTGAGTAAGTCAAGAATCACCTGCAGCCGGACTCCGGCTCTCCCGTGGGCTCCAGCTGCCCCACAGCCTCAGGGCCCCATTACCCCCTCCCCCACAGCTCCCTCTTAGAATGCAAAGCTCTGCCTGGCGGGGGGAGCACGCGGAGGGGGCAGGCCCCAGCCCTGGGACAGCGCCGAACCTCCCAGTCCCAGCAGCTGTGACCCTCCTGAAAAAGGCCCTGACCCAGTCACTCCGGCGTTCCAGACCCGCCCCTCCCGGTTGCAGCCTCACCCGTCACCCAGGATGAGACACTGACCTTGACCTTTAGGAGTTTACTGCCCAGAGGGGAACAGAGGGGCCCCTCTAGTCCCAGGAAAACACACTTAACCCCTGGAAGGGGTCCGCTGAGGACCCAGAACGGATGCCCTGGGACTCCTGCTCCCCTCTGGCTTGTTCAAGAGACCCTGGCGCCTTTGGGGTCTGTGAGGCACCCCCCCCCATTCTGAATGCCTTGCCCTGGCCACCTTCCGCGAGCCCCGAGGGGACAGCAGGAACAGGAAGTGTCAGGGGCTTTGCTGGGACCTCTCTGCCCAGCACTTCCAAGTGCCACGCTCCACGCTAGACCCACGGCATTCAGCATCTCAGCTCACCCTCAGGTCGGCTTGTGGGGCCGCCCCACCCTGTCCCCCGCAGCAGCTACTGTGGGACCCCCAGAGGTGGGGGGTCAGGGAGCATCAGGCCAATGGCTGTGGCGCACCCCCCCCGCCCCACTTGCCAAGGGCAAGACTGTCACATGCTGTCCATGCATTTTACCTCATTTCTGCCTCAGAAGGAACCTGTGAAGACAGCTCCATTTTAGAGAAAAAGGTCCCTGAGCTAGTAAGTGGAGCCGGGATCGGAACTGGGCCTGGAACTTGGGCCCTGGCTCGCTGCAGGCAGGGGCAGAGGCCTGATCGGGGAGAGGGGGGTCCGGGAAGGTGTCCCCCGGGCCGGGCTTCCTGGTTTTGGTCACGGGATGAGCAGAATCCCCTGGCAGGGCCATGGCGGCTCCCCGGGAGAGATACCGGGTCCCACGGCCACGCTCGCCTCCTGACACCGTGTTTGTTTCCGGCCACAGAGCCCCGGGCAGCAGCCAGGAGAGGCCCGAGAGGCGGTCGGTCATCTTGTACGACTGCTCGGAGGAGGAGCTGATGGCCAGCATCGAGCAGGAGTACTGCCACTGAGGCCCCGCCCGCCCGGCCTCCGGGAACCTGGGCTGGGGGTGCACCCTGCCCCTCGCGGGCCCGAGCTGGAGCTGAGCTGCTGCCCACGGGCAGCTACGCACGGACTTTCAAACCGTTTCCCACCCACATCAGAGGGTCTGGAGCTTGCCAGCCACCGGCCTGGGTGCTGCTGCCGGGAGGTGGTCATCGGGCGGCCGGAGGGAGTCACCTGAGTTCTGCAGGTGAACGTCCTGGAGGTGAAATGCAGATTCTGACTCGGGGGGCTGTGGGGGCCTCCGAGCCAGCATTTCTAAGGGCTCCCAGCCTCCCCTGAGGAGCAGGGCCGATGGAGCCTGTGCAGGAGGCTGCCTCCCAAAAGGATCCTGCCCGCTGGGCCTCAGTTTCCCTCCCTGGAAGGGAGTCCTGGAGGCTCTGCCCACTCTGACAACTGGGGTCGCAGGGTTCCAGGCTCCCTGCCTAGCTGGTTCCCGCCCACCCTGGGCACAGGAACCTCCCCTGGGC